AACGCTAGTAATTAAGGCGGTGGTCACCTATAAACGCCATCGGCCGCTTACAGCGTCACGCCGTACGCCGCGTTACGATACTCACTATAGAAATGTACTGTTGTGGTCTCTTTCACAAGCTGATGTCAGCGTATGGACGTCGTAGGACGTCGAGACGCAGCGAAAAGCGGCGTTAAGACGCTTTGCGCTGCGTCACGGTCACGGTCGCATGACCGCACCGTCATGCGACCGTGACCGTGACCGCGGCGTCTTTGCGCACGTCCATGGTCACGGGAAGGACCATAGGTGCTGTAAAGCTCTCGAAACGTCGGGTATTTAAAAAGTTAAATATAAGCGATAAATTCCGTAAAAACTAGTATTATTTCAATGTGTAGTGTTTGCGTAAATATAAGAAAGCATTTAAACCCTTTATTTCCCGCCGAGGCACATGTTCAACGTTGTACTCGGATCATGGCACTAATTTTTTGGCGCTAAGTCTTACTTTGATGAACTTTATAAATTCCTTAACTCTAAAGATTATAAAACGAATTTCATGAGGAAACTCTACGTTAACGCATAAATTGGAAATTTATTCCTCCGCACGCCCCGTATTTCGGTGGCTCATGGGAATCTAATATAAAATCTGTTAAGTCGCATTTAAAAAGATCTATTGGAGATCAGCTATTAACTTATGAGGAACTTTTGACAGTACTCTCACAGTTTGAGGCTATAGTGAATTCACGTCCTATAACAGTTTTAAACTCCGAACCCTCTGAACCTACCGCTCTAGCCCCTTTGCATTTTTTAACATTAGGGCCTTTAAATTCCTTAACTAATTTAGAAGTCGATACTTCTATAGGTTTGCTACTACGCAAGTTTTTACTTGATTAAATAATACAGTCTTTCTGGAGACGATGGAAAACAGAATACTTAAATACTATAAAAACTGATTTCTTATATTTACGCGAACACTACACATTGAAATAATACTAATTTTTACGGAATTTATCGCGTATATTTAACTTTTTTACCCGACGTTTCGAGAGCTTTACAGCACCCATGGTCACGGGAAGGACTGAGATGTTCAACGTCCAGCTGTCATAGTTAACCGCGGTTACCATAGATTAAAATTTAACTTTTGTTCCGATCTACACAGTATGAACTTATGATATCATGGAGTCTTGCAGTTGTATGCTTGGGTTGGGATTTAATTTTATTTATTATAGGATCCCAAGCAGATGGTAGCACCCAGCCATCTTCTCTATTGAAATTAGGATGTTTTTTGATTTCAATAGCCTCGCGAATCATCCTTGGAAGGAATCGGTGTTCTTTAGCGAGGATTTGTGGTCTATCAAATCTGATGTAGTGACGGGGGCGATCCTGTACATGTTCACAGACTGCAGACTTCCCGGAGCGTCGATTCTTCACATCAGCTATATGTTCTTTGACGCGGGTTTTAATTGATCTTTTAGTTTGTCCTATGTAGGAGAGACCACATTCACAATCAAGCTTGTACACTCCTGCATCTTGCAGAGGGACGTTACACTTGACTGATGGTAAAAACTGACCAATCTTCTTCGGCGGCTTGAAGTATGTTTTGATGGAAGCGCGCTTCAAGATGTAGCCAATCTTGTCAGTGACTCCTCTAACATATGGCAGTACAGCAGGTACACGCTCGACTGTGGCCGGCTTCACTCGTTCTCTGTGACGTAGGCGCGGGACCCGAAGCTTGTTGTCATGCAAAACTTGCTTGACATGTTGGAGCTCGGCAGCCAGGTGTTTACTGTCACAGATCCCTCGTGCTCTCTGAAACAAAGATTTACTCACGGTAGCTAACTGTGAAGGATGGTGGTGAGAATCACCGTTTAAATATCTATCTGTATGGGTGTTTTTTCTATACACAGTATGGTGAGCCAAGAATCGACGCTCCGGGAAGTCTGCAGTCTGTGAACATGTACAGGATCGCCCCCGTCACTACATCAGATTTGATAGACCACAAATCCTCGCTAAAGAACACCGATTCCTTCCAAGGATGATTCGCGAGGCTATTGAAATCAAAAAACATCCTAATTTCAATAGAGAAGATGGCTGGGTGCTACCATCTGCTTGGGATCCTATAACAAATAAAATTAAATCCCAACCCAAGCATACAACTGCAAGACTCCATGATACCATAAGTTCATACTGTGTAGATCGGAACAAAAGTTAAATTTTAATCTATGGTAACCGCGGTTAACTATGACAGCTGGACGTTGAACATCTCAGTCCTTCCCGTGACCATGGGTGCTGCAAAGCTCTCGAAACGTCGGGTAAAAAAGTTAAATATACGCGATAAATTCCGTAAAAATTAGTATTATTTCAATACTATAAAAACTTCAGACTCACCAGAAGTGGAATACTTGAACAAAACCTATTAAAGTAGGTACCGTGGTATTGTTACACATAGATAATACACCATCTTTAAAGTGGCCTATGGGGGTAATAGATAAAGTCTTCCCGGGTGAAGACAGTGTAGTCATAGTTGTTTTAGTGCGTACCGCATCTGGTTAGTCAGTGGTAAAGGTGGCTCCTTTACCTTTACAGTAAACTTTATACTTTTATAGGTCCTTTATCAGTAATTATTGTAAGGTCCTATGTAAATTACCCTGTATTATTTTTCTTTTTTAATATATTTCTTTTTTTCTCTCGATTAATAATATTAATGTTTATAGAAGCACAAAGAGTTTTGTCCTTCTAGGCGGGGGGGGGGGGGATGTTTAGGCCTATATTAAATAAAAATTAAATTAAATAAATGTCTGTGGAAACGCCTTATGGACGTGTGACAATTGATGCATTCGCTTCCGGATTTACTATGATTCGGTCTGTGCACGCGCCACGCATAAAAACAATGAGTTAATCTATACACACATCTATGAAGACACTGTGATGAGTGGTCGCTTCTGCCCGCCGCCTCGCATTATATATATATATATATATATATATATATATATATATATATATATATATATATATATGTTATCGCTCTTTCATGAGGCATTCCGCATTGTATAAAGAGTATATTATAATTACAAATAATTTGTTCTACCGCATATATCAAATAAACTTACAGTACACTTGCTCTCTCTATTTTAAAAACAATATATTTTTAGTTTTTTCGCCGCATTCATCAATAGGATTTAATTTTGGTGATCATTTACTATTTTTGGCAGTATAAAGTGATTATTTGCCGATCCATTTAACTAGATCTGGTGGTTATTTAAACATGAGCCAAAAATCATATATAATAGAAAGTTTACATCTAAAAGCAGGAAACTACTTATTTTTTTCTAATTCCGCAATGGAATGAAAACGGCCACGGGTCACTAACTACCTATAAACAAAATTTCATGTAAATCCGTCCAGTAGTTTTAGCGTGAATTAAAAATACACAAACAGACAAACAGACGGACAAAATTTTCAAAAACCTCTAATTTCATTTCGGTATGTTATGTGTAGTTTCTTCAAAGAAATCATAGATTAACTAAGATTTTTCTAAAGATTTATTACATGTATTGTATGTACCTAAATCCGTATTCCGTAACCGTATTTTTTTGTATTCAATTATTGCAATATTAACCTTATCTATAATATGTAATTATGTTTGCAGCCAAAATTAGTGCTATAGTATGTGCCAAATCGATTGAGGAAAATTACCTCAGATATGAGCCGAGGGTCAAAAGGCGTAACTTACAAAATCTTAATTTAGATGTGAGAACAATATTTAAATATTGATATTATTCACACTTCTAGGTCAGCACATATGTTTTGTTTTCTTGTTTCTTAAATAATATTGTCTGTGGTTCCTACAAACATCGTAAAATCTTACGGTACACCGCGAAAAATGTGTTATATTTTATATTTCAATTTATGGTAAGTAACGCAGCAATTCATTTAATAACAGTTTCATATTAAAAAAAAATATTTGAAGCAATATAATCACCATATTGAGCTTTTGCAAATTCATCCCTTTAAAATAAACAAAACGAGCGTTACATCAGTTCGTTGTAAAAGAAACGTGACAATGGTAGTCAGAGATGCGTCACTTTTTTGGGCCAGTCCGCATGCACCGAATAAAAATAAAGTTCTTATATTATAATATTGAAAATAAACTTTTATCTTTTGAACAAGTATAAGTAGGTACTTATTCAAAAGATAAAACTTTATTTTGGTGTCGTTATCACTCGAATCTTTATATGTGTTATAAATTAATGCTTTTTGTTGTTAAATTAATAAAGTACTTTATGACAATAGATGATTTTTCTGCTACAGCGATCTTTTACATAACTTTTTAATAATAGTTAATTAATATATATTATATCAATCATTATAAAAAATAAGAGTATGTCCCACAATTTTCCAATAGTTGAAAAAATGGTGCGCTTAATTACGCTGTTTGATGAGACAGTTTTAACTGTTATAGAAAAATAATCCTCAGTAGGGCACCAATGAAGTCCCAAAATTTTTATATCCTCCTCAAAGAAAGTACTACATATTAAAAGTGCCCATATATTGAAGGTTTGTAGCCCCTGGTTAAACGACCGAAAGGTCATTGTCCGATTTTCTCAATCGATTTGGTACTATAGTTACGTTATTATTGTAATTTGAACCGTGATATTTCATAGTGTACTGTTGTGTTCCCCACTGAAGACTATAGAAAACCAATATATTCCCATTCCATCCATAGTTCTCAGAGGTAACAAGCATCTGAGATCTTCGTTGTTTGAAGTTGGCTACAGGTGCACATGATATATATAGCTTTTATATTTTATAATTAAGTAAACGTTGTCTGATAAATTCCTTTTTTTCCTACTAGCTCACTATCAAGCTAATCTATCATTTTTTAAGGATTTCGAAACAACCATATTATATGTCAAATGGTTTTATATTGTATTTCTTTTAAAATCTATAGAAAATTATAAATCTGTACATTATATATTATGTTACACCATATTTTATTAAATGTAAGCTAAGAATAGAACAACTTAATTTGTTGTAGTTACTTCGGGTTCAGTTTCTGTTTCCGTAGTTGTAGCCGCGACGGTTTCAGATTTTTGTGTTGTAGTCGTCTCGATCTCAGGTTCCTTGCTTGTAGTTACTTCGGTTTCAGGTTCTGTTTCTGTAGTTGAAGGTGCGTCAGTTTCAGGTTTTTGTGTAGTAGTCGTCTCGATCTCTGGTTCCTTGGTTGTAGTTACTTCGGTTTCAGGTTCTGTTTCTGTAGTTGTAGGTGTGTCAGTTTCAGGTTTTTGTGTTGTAGTCGTCTCGATCTCGGGTTTTTCGGTTGTAGTTACTTCGGGTTCAGGTTCCTTGGTTGTAGGTGCATCGGTTTCAGGTTCCTCAGTCGTGGTTGATTCTGTCACAGGTTCAGTGGAAGGTGCTTCTGTTTCTGACGTCTCAGAGGTTGTTGTATCTGCTTCGGGTTCTTCGGTTGATGGAGCAGCAGTGGTTGGGGGCTCGGGCACCCAGTCAAAGTTAATCCCGGTCACTTCGTAAAACCAGTCATGATAGTGACCAGGACGAATAAAACCTGTAAAAATTTAAAATTGGATTTAACTATAAAATGGAACGATATTTAAATAAAGTTTTAATGTTACAGTCTATCAGAAGTCATCGCTGAACATAGGTCTCCCCCATATATTGCCTCGTATGGTGGATATTTGTCACAGTCACCACGCTTAGCAGGTGGGTTCACAGCCTCAGCTTGTTTAGTTTTAAAAAAGGACCTTGTTGACCATCAACTGGTTTTTTTTTTCTCTCTGTCGCCTTTTATGACACCTACGGCTATAAATAGAATAGTTGAACTTACACCGCCACAACACGGTGAAACAGTTTTGTAAGCATAGTTTTAATTACTTATAATTTACAATTATTAAACCTACTATATTGTCTTTTGTTTTCTGTACACATAAACATATCAAACATATACTATATTTCTATCTTCCTCTTCTTTGTGATCCAGTGACAGTCTAGAGCTGAATACTGTACGGTCTTCTCTTATCGTGGGAAAGGTTTCCATACTTGAGCACATTGGCTATCATGGTACCGCAAACTGAAATTTTGCATTTTAGCTCTGCTCCCACACTTAACGTTGACCTCTCTCGTCTTTGTCACAAAATATATCCCGCCAATCTTCGCGAAATTTGACATATGCTGTCAAATTTTATGCTTTACATTTTAGTTTGCATCTCAAAGTAATTTGTGTAATCACATACTCTAAAGGTCACATATTTCCGCGCATTTCCCTGGACTTTTTAATTGAAACAAATTCTTGTTTAAATCTGATGTTAATTATAAACCACTTTTTGTAATGAGGTGGATTAGGTTTATTCTAGTAATGTACAATTCCTTACCAGCTGGGAGGTCAGTGTGGCACCCAGAAGAGGAGACAAAGGACGAAATTCCCACTTGAGTGAGAAGGCCGTCCTCGTCTACGACGACAAGAGGACCACCGCTGTCACCCTGTTCACATAATATATTATTTTAGACATACATATGGCTGTGGCTAATAGTCCAAAAATCATTTAAACATGGTGAAGCCCTGCTGCAGCTATATTATAGTTGGCACGAATGGCTTGGCTTGAACATGGAAGGACTACGTTCTCACAGAATGTCAGCGTTAGATAGCAGCTTAATGTTGCTGTGTTTCGCCTACACATACATATCCCACTGCTGGGCACAGGCCTCCTCTCACTTCTGAGAGGGTTTTAAGGCAAGGAAGTGCCTACCGCGCTACCACAATGCGTGTTGGCGAACTTCACATGTCTTTGAAATTTTTTTTTCTCAGACATGCAGGTTTCCTCACGATGTATTCCTTCATCGCAGAGCACGTGGTAAATCAGCACCTAAAATTGCAATTAGCAATTTCATTGGTGCCAGCGGGGATCGAACCCGGATTGCCCGCGTATAGTAAATTTACAGCGAGTGCTAACCCACTGAGATACCACTATCATTTAGGAGAAACGACGCATTAAATCTTATTCTTAGGGGTGTTAAAGCATTCTGCATTTTGATTCTTAATCGAACCACTTACCGGTGTATCAGGTGGACCGTATGCTTGTTTGTCAACCTTATTACTGAAAATTTCGGGAATCAAGGAAGTGACACAACATTACTATTTAAAAATGTATTTATTGCTTTTCGAAGTATTCTCCGCGAAATTTAACACATTTTTCATACGATGGAACCAATCATTGAAGCAACCATTCCATTCGGAAGTTGGGGTCTCCAAAATAGCCGTTTTGTAGGCGTCCACGCTCCTTCGGGTGATGAAAATTTCTGTCCACGCAATATTCTTTATTTTAGGGAAAGTATAGAAATCATTAGGGCTTAGGTCGGGGCTGTACGGCGGATGGTCTAAAAATTCCATTTTTTCTTGCTCTAAAAACTCTTTTGTTCTGTGTGCGGTGTGAGAACTCGCATTGTCGTGATGGAGGATGATGCGGCGGTTGCAGTTCTCTTTATGGAGTTCAGAAACGACAGCTGTGGCAAACAAATGCTAGCATACCATTCTGCATTAACCGTTCTTTTTCCCTCAAGAGGAATAGTAGTAACATGGCCGGTTTTGGAGACAAACGTGGCCACCATTTTTTTGCAACACTCCGTGAACGAACAATTTTTGTTGGCTTTAACTCATTTTCGAACACCCAAACTCGTGACTGGTTTTTTGTTTCGGGTTCGTACGCGTATATCCAGGATTCGTCACCTGATACGATGTTGTATACAGCATTTGAGGATCCTGCGTGGAATTTTTCGAAAGTTCTGACCCACCAAGTAACGCGAGCCGCTTTTTGCACTTCACAGAGCGAATGCGGTATCCATTGGGAAAACAACTTTTTTACACCTAATTTTTCATGCAAGATTATTTGTATTTGACTCATGCCAATGTCTAAAGTTGCCTGAATTTCGCGGTATGTCACATGTCGATCTTCCTCAATCAGCTTACGCACAGCATCAACGTTTTCTTGGATGACTGCAGTTTTTGGACGGCCTTGACGGGGATCATCACTGAGCTTGACACGTCAACGTCGAAATTCAGCTAACCAGCGATAAATTGTGGATTTAGATGGGGCTTCATCAACAAATGCAGAAATCATCCGGTCAACACACTGTTTTTGTGTTAAACCACTTCGAAAGTCATAATAAATCATCGCTCTTGAATTTTCTCGAGTCAATTCCATTTTCTCAACGACCATAGATTACTGTGTATATACTAGAGACAACGACTAAACAAGTTTGACAAAACCTTGTGACAAGACCGAGAATCTTTTTTTAAATAAATAAATGGTATTCGATTTTTAAAACCAAGGAGTTTTCAATTAAAAAGATTTTAATATGACAGGAACAGTGGAAATATTCCATTCCCGATACTTTAGTGCAGCCTAGTATATAAGAAGTCGAATTAATTCTCATTCATAACTTTAAAATAAAATTATCAATGATATAATGTGATATTAAAAAAAATATGGTGCTGGTTCTGTATTTTTCCTTATCGTACGTTAAAGTCTGCGTCTTTACGGTGGCCCAAGTGTGACCACTGCTGCTAAGGTGCAGCAGGGGTGGCCTCTACGACCTCTGATAATGGGGTATATATGTGTGCTTACGTATTTGTGATAAAATTGACATTACAAATAGATTTCAAATATTCATCGTCAAATTTCTGGACGAATAGAAACTTCCCACAAAATATATCTTCACACCCAAAATTATCACTGTGAAATATCGATATTATTTGATTGTAATAGTGGTGCTTCTGTAAGTACTTTTGAAAAAGAGATACTGCACGTTGCCACTGGTCGGATATCAGATTCGATATTTAATCGGATTTCAGAAGCCTTTGTTCGCACTAATCGGATGTCGAATCCGATTAAAGCTAGAGCCAGAGCCAGTTTTTAACGTGGAGCCAAGGTTCAGCTATATTATGATTGCAGCACGAATATGTCGGTTCGACTGGGGAAAGGCTACCCTCTTACAGAATACTAGCGTAAAACAGCAGCTTAATACTGATATGTTACGTATAGTAGGTATAGAGAACCGGAGTTTTACTGGTGTCGTGGTATCTCCATGAACAAAGGTGACAACGCATCTAGACTTTATACGTGGTAGAGCCACGCTGTAGCTATATTATGGTTGAAGCACGAATCGACCTCTCGAACAGGGAAGGAGCACGCTCTCACAGAATACCAGCTTAAAATAGCAGCTCAATGTTGCTGTGTTTCATAGGGTGAGTGTACAGAATCGGAGACTCTTTTTACTGGAAACGAGGCATTCCATCTAAGTCCTCACGGGTGACAACGTATCTGCTTTTTTAATTCTTAATCGAGGATAAATGTATATGTCTATGGGCCACAGCATCCACTTACCATCAGATGGACTGTGTGCTCGCTTGTTACCCTTATTCTATAAAAAAATATTCTAATTTTTAATGGAGAATAGATGTTGGTGTCTATAGGGAACAGTATCCACTTACCATCAAGTGGACTAAGTGCTTTTTATCATCTTTTACTACTTTACCTCGTGCTAAGTGCTATATTCCTACGAGTAGGAGTCCGTGGAGTAGGTTACATCTTCTTACCTATTTCTGCTGCTTAATAGCAGTGTTTGCTCTGCTGCGTTCAGGTCTGAAGAGTATATAGAGCCAGGATAATTACGGGCTGTGAGGCATCCATTCTTTGTTTGAAATTGGCTCCTGTGTCCCAGAAAGAATGGATAATCCTGGAGCGCCTAATAGTACAGGTATCAGGCGCTCAATTTAAAAAACATATTCCCAGTGGTGCCAAAATGTGATTTCTTAAAAAAATGTTTTTATTGACCTTACTGTACTTTCACATACACCAATGCCGAAAATTAATGAAATTCATTGCGTTTTTTGGTATTCTCTTATTCCTCACAGACCCTATTAGTAATGCAGTAAAGAGTATGAGTATCTATTGTACTTTTTTATTTAATTTTGACAAAAGTTTGCGAGCCCCATTGATGAAAAAATATTTCAAAAATATGCGCAGTTAAAATACAGTTTTACGAAATCGTATAATACATAATTTTATCCAAAGATTTTAAAGAATATTAAAAAAAATCTTATCTTCTCTTTAGCGGTGAAAATGATATGGGCATTCTTGAGTGGAAGAGTCCTTTTTATTGTTTTTTTATAGGATAGGATAGGACAGGATGATAAACGAGCACACAGTCCACCTGATGGTTAGTGGTTGCTGTGGCCCATAGACATCTACATCAATCCTCGATCAGGAATCAAAATGCAGATACGTTGTCACCCGTGAGGACTTAGATGGAATGCCTCGCTTCCAGTAAAAAGGGGTTAAAATACATTAAAAAATTTACAACTATTTTTACTTACAATTAAATATACTAAACACTATTTCAACAAGTATTTACATTAAAACTATTTACGTAAAAAACGTTAAAAATCTTTAACATTGAATCGCCTACAACGCGCTAGCCCCGACTGCGTATAAGGCCCAGGGTCCAGGGTCATTCAATATCCTTATCATATCTCCCATCCCTGCTGAATACACATCCCAAATATACGTACTCATCCACTTGCTCAATTAACTCTCCTTCTATTCTTATTTCACATACCGTTTTGCTTTCTTCTCTTTCAAAAACCATAACTTTCATCTTACTTGCGTTCACTTTCATTCCTCTTTCTTTTAATGACCTGTTCATTAATGTAACCATCATTTGCAACTCTGCCGCCGACGACGCAAGTATGACTTGATCATCGGCGTACAAAAGGCATTTGATGGTTAACTCACCCATTCTTAACTCACATTCTACAACTTTCAAAGTTTCTAAACAACTGTCCATAAATAGGTTGAGCAGCCACGGGGAAGCTACACAGCCCTGTCTGACACCTTTATGGATGCCAAACCAGTCCGAGTAGACCCCGTTAATTCTAACACAAGCACTCGAGTCCCTATACAGAGACTTTAATGCCTGTATTAAACCAGCGCTCAACCTAAATGCGTTCAGCGTTTGCCATAACAGATCCCTGTCCACTCTGTCATAAGCCTTTTCCAAGTCCATGAACGCACAAAAAACTTTTTGGTTTTGCCCCAAAAACTTCTCCGCGATAATGCGCTTGGAAAAGACTTGATCTGTCATTGGGGTGTCCCTTTCTAAATCCCGCTTGTACATCCCAAATTTTTTCATCAGTTTCTTTCATAACTCTATTCAATTAGTACCTTAGCATACAGTTTTCCCACAATGCTAAGAAGGCTAATACCACGATAGTTTTTACAGTCCTACTGTGACCCTTTTCCCTTATATATTGGGACTATCACAGCTTTGCACCAGTCTCCTGGTACCCGCTTTAGTTCCCAACTTAAATTAAACAAGGTGTACAGCAGGCCTGCCACCACTCCCTCTCCAGCCCTTAGCATATCGAGTGAAATTCTATCATATCCGGCTGCCTTACCTACTTTCATGCTTTTTATTGCTTTCATTATTTCATCTATACTTATCTCCCTATCTCTTTCATCTTCTTTCGGAATTTCTATTTCATTTAGTTCACACGTCTCCTCACTCATAATACGCTTTCAAAATATTTTATCCATCTCTTTAGACTCAACACTTCATCATTCAGAATACAGCCATTCTCGTCTCGTATCGCATTCAATCTAGGCTGTTATGAATGTCCCCTGTTATTTATTACGAATTTATAGAACATTTTAATATTTACCTGGATGTTATCCGATATTCTTCTATCGTTCTTATCCGTTCTTTCTTGCTTTTTCCTTTCAACTAATTCTTTTACTCTCTTATTTAGACGTTTAAACTCTGCCTCTTTTCTTTAAATCTCATCCTTCTTACCGCCAGAATTACCAGCTTTGGTCGTTAGTAAATCTAGCCATGCTATCTTCTTTGCTTCAACTTCCATACGTACCTCATCATCCCACCATAACGTATTGTTTTTCCTTTCATTCGTTCTCTTACTTACACCACATACTTCGGTAGCTGCATCCACTAAACCTTTCTTAACATTATGCCACACATTCTCCAAGTCTAACTCATTCACACACAACTCATACAAAATACTTATATTTTCTCTCAGTCTACATTTGTACTTGTCTTTCACATATTCATCTTGTAACCTCTCAATTCTTGTACGCTGTAACGCAGTGGCAGACACAGATGTCCGATGCCGTCAACGTCTGAATAAACCCCTAATTCGGCATAAGACCAGGTAGTGATCCGTCCCTCCGTTGGACTCTCGGTAAACCCTTGTATCCACCACTCCGCTCCTCATTCTTTCATCCACTGTTATGAAATCTATCATGCTTCTATAATCACCTCTTTCCCAAGTATACATGTGAATCTTCTTATGAATAAAGAAAGTGTTCATCACAAAAAGATTCCTTTCCATACATACGGTGAGGAGGAGTTAAATATATATATATATATATATATATATATATATACAACATATAACAAAAACCCAGTGGTTCCTGTTAAGTGCGTTATCAAAATCAGTATTCAAACTTATAAGCATTTTTTTAGAAAACTCGACCATTAAAAAAATTTTACGGTTTAAAGGGTGAATCCATACTCCTTGCAAGTGTCTCAACTTGCCTAGGGTATGGATAAGCATAAAATATAAATTTATCTCGTCTAATCAAAAAAAAGTTCAAAGTTTTACTCTATTAGCAGTTATACCTGACAAGTAGATTGACTGGAGACATTGTAAGCAGCAGCACACATGGTGGAAGGAGTGATGATGGAGCTACCACCGTACACGTCCCTGCAGAAAGCGTTTGACACGCCCAGAAGATACACCCAGTTTAAGTTTTCGGGTGACGTGCCTAAAAAGATAAAAAATATCATAATTAAAGTAGAAATAAAGAAAGAAAATGCTTTATTTGTAACGACAACATTTAACATTAAAAGAAAAACAATATAAATCGGTCAACCGAGGCGAATTGTCGATGAGTTTAGTCTTCACGTAAGCATCAACTCTATGTAAGAAAAGTGCTGGTAGGTTATCCCGTCACGTTTCTTTGAATAATGTTGTCCGAAGAGCTCATGTATCTATAAATGTTTCCTCGGTTTTTGAGCCTTGTGAAATATTTAACTTTAGAAAAAGAATAAGGGTTCCGCTTAAAAAATCAAAAAAGACCCTAATATACACGCGGGTGAAGTCGCGGGCAACAGTATAGAACTAGTATTTGAATAAATATTTGAACAGTACGTTTTATAATATAAATAATCATGGTCATAGACCGTTACATCTGACAACACATACATATATATATACAACTTCCATTTGTCAAGATCCTGACACACCTCTCTCGATTCTTTCTTTTACATCCATATCTGCGGTGTATCCGGTTAATGGATAAATGTTCCTTATTCAAAAAAGCCTCTTTATTGTATCGCCAATTCCATCCCTTTAATGCATCGCCACTTTGATGGATAAACTTTCGTCTCAATCAAGGCTGCCTTTGCCCTCTCTGCCACACTTCTTCTTACAATATTATACGTGTTGCTAATTTTTATATAGGCTACAGCATCCATTTACTATCATGTATACTGTTTACTGTATTTGTCACCTACGTATATGTACAAAAAAAAACCAAATAAAATTCGTACCTTCAGTCCAAGTGCGTCCCCAGCCGCTAGCCTGAAGCCTGATATTATTGTAGTCCTTGTTCATGTCGATAGATGACTGTAGCCTAATGGGCTGAGCTCGAGCTACAAAACAACAACGCCATTAAAGTATATACAGCTGTTTTATCAGATTTATTATTTTTACGTGGTACAGCCACGCTGCAGCTATATTGCAGCTGTAGCACGAATGGGTCGAATCGACCGCGGCAGGACCACGCTCTCACAGAATACCGGCGTAACACTGCTGTGTTTTATAAAAAAATATCAATGTCCATTGCTGCACATTTTTTATAGAATAAGTATCACAAGCAAGCACACAGTCCACCTGATGACATCTACATTTTTCCGGTCGAGCCGACCCATGGATGAATGAAAATCAGTAAACGTGATCAAAATCAGCCTGAAGAACATGATAAAAAATTGATTATTTACATAACAACTTGAATGATAACTTACGTGTGAATTCGATGAACCGATTGAAGTATATAAGACCGATGTCATGGGGCTGAACCACCGACTGGAGCTCCTCGATATATAACGGATGGTTGATGTAACTTATAGTTTCGAATATGCTCTCTGGTCTTGTGAGGTTCACTGTACCGGTTCGGATCACGATCGACACACGTCTGGAACGAAAATAAATACAGCTTTAACAAGTTTTTAGAAAATAAAACAGTGCTTCTGCTCTGTGACTAAACTTAACAACCGAGGTCTAAATCGCACTATCAAATTTTGTATAATGCATATACCAATCAAATAATGTAAGGTGGGCATGCTCACACTCCAGTGAATATAGGTTGGAGTGTGGAGTAAGACAGGGAGGCTTAACTTCACCAAGGCTCTTTAACCTATACACAACACGTAACATAATTAACGCACTTTGAGAAAGTAGTTTGTTCAGAATCCTTTACTGAATCGATTCCTATCATTTTTAATATAGGTAATTTTTTATCCCAAAAAAATTAAAACTACGTAAATTACAGTCACACTAAATCTGTACAGTCAAAACAAACTGAAATGGACCGCAACTTAAAGCAATAAGACTTTTAAGAGTGCAGTTTTATTTGTATTATTACTAATTCTGTCATTCAATAAAAAATAAAGAAAAATTAACTTTTTTTCAAGCACGTTAAAATCTTTGCGTTCGTGGATTTGTACTGTGACCACAACATTCTTCCGGAATTAGTATAACTAATTTGATAAATAATCAGTGCATAAAAATGTTTAACTAAAAATTCAGTATATGTATTATGATTTATGAGTGGGTGTGCGTTAATTACGTAACATATTGTATAAATGGATTGATCAATGTGCTTAGCAGAACTGGCGTCGGATGTCTCAATAGATGGTAACTTTGTAAACAGCATCAGTTACGTGGACGACATGGTGCTGCTGAGCCCTTCGATCAGGGCACTCGAGATATTAATAAATTTAATCCAGTGTAATCATAAGATTCAAATTCGTTCGCTTTCTTAAATCTTAATTAGGGCATGATATCGTGTGAAAATCTGAAATGCTCTACCAGTGCCATTATTATCACTGATAGCCTATCAGGTAGATTTGTTATGAACAATGGCTAAAATGTCTCGAAACTTGGGGATTTGCTATTTTGGTCTTGGAACAAATAACTTTCTTGTTGATATTTACAAATCAATATTAACGCAATTCAGGAGCTCAGAATAAACAAAAAAATATCACACTACCTACATAATTTCATGACTCAAGTCTCTTGTTAGACATGACATTTGACATATAATTTTATGACGGAAGGGCGCCATCTTGTAAAATCATCAAAAATTTGGATTGCATTTTTTTAGCAAGTTATTTAGTTCGTTTTATTCTCCCATTTTATTTTTAATAAAATTCCTGAATATTTCGCTTTTTTACGGAATAGTGTACACATACAGGGCCTGGAATGGACCGTCTCTTTTGCTGAACAATACATTTCAACATATAACGCCAGTTGATTGGAAGAAGGTTGTCGATAAAACGTAAAGAATTATCACAGAAGATTAGCAACGAGATGTCCGCTTTGATTATTTGTGTTAAAAAGAATTAATAATTCATTTCAAAGATTGTTCCAATGACTGATTCTGATGATGATGATTATGACTTAGGATGTACACCCTTGTGTCAATAACTTTATTATTGCAAAATTTATCTTATTAGCCCTAAATGAGTCCCAATGTTTTAAATACTTGGTTTAAAATAAGTATTGGGTACATACTTTTTATTAATATTTATGAATACTTTATCGATATATCGGTTTAATGTTAGTCACATCAAAATGACAGCTGTCATTCTAATCAAGCTATATGTACTATTATTTATTCTGTGGCTATATTTAAAGAACTATAACATGTATATACTTGTAGGTATATAAAAGTGACACGTAGGAGCGTCGGTTAATGCTCGTGTAACTTCTGATCGACAAATTAAAAATTTGAGAATAATATTTGTAGTCAAGACGACGGCTCACAGCTATGTTAGGATTTGGTAGGTGATAGCTGCGACGTTTGGTAGGCGAAGTGGCAACTTTGGCACCGCAGCTGTGGCAAATATTCTCCCTGTGAGGAAACCTATTTGTCTTATTTAAAATATATTTAGGTATTCAGGGCAATGATAAAAATTGACAACTTGATTACTTAACCTTGAAACGATAAATTTATTATGTTTTCTCACATGTAACTAATAGTAATTATTAAAGATAATTTAAAACAATATATCAAGTTATTTGATAAACAACATTTGATAATTAATAATTTCCCTTATCCTGTATTTCCGGCGATAAATGTTTTTTTTAGTATGCCTAATTACGTTATAATACGGGTGCAGCGTGGCTCCACCACGTAGAGTTAAGCTGTAATTTTCAAAGTTTTTATTCTGTAAGCACAAACTTGGGCAAACCCTCTACACGAAATAATACTTATAAAACATGCATGAAGTCGATGGTTGCAGGTGGCGAGAGACCATATTGTGTGGCAATCTATTAGGGAGACCTATGTTCAGCACTATAGACTTTTAATGGGATGTATTGATGATAAGATGTAGCTGAAAAATATTAAGCGATCAATTAATTTCGGTGTAAAATTTCTTTCATTCTTCTTCTGCTTTGATTGAGGAGTAAGGGCAAGTACAATCGCCAGTATCGAGTAATCGTTTTTTTTTTAATAACTCAATGGTATTTTACTCAACCTGGCAACATTCAACGCACGCACCCTGAGAACTGATGAAAAGATTCTGGAGCTGGAAACAGAGACAGAAAATTTGCGCTGCGATATTATCTAGAGGCCACGGTAATCCTCAAATCCGAGAAATTGTTCTATCACCAGGAGAGCGACCATCTGTCCAAAGGAGGAGTCAGGTTTGCTATCCACAAGTCTCTCGTTAATGATATTTTAAGTATCTTTTACATATAAAATCACTGTTTATTTATCTATAATATCTTTCTTATATATAAAAATCAATTGCTGTCCGGTAGTCTCTAAAACTAAAAGATGTCTCGAACGATTTTGATGTATTTGTGTGTATTTGAGTGGGTCCTTCAATTATTTAAAAACTCAATTGGATCCAGTAGGTGACGCTGTTTTCGAGATCCAGAAATCACCCTTGCGCAGCCTGGGCGGATCACTAGTTTAATAATATTTATTTAATTGTATCAAGCTTTGAATATTGATATGACTTCTGTAAATGTTCAAAGCAATATTCTCCACACAGATTAGAGCAGCGGCCTTCCTTGTTTAAAGTTTGTTGCAATTGTTCTTGAACTGCAGTCATCATCATCATCATCATTACAGCCCTTCACAAGTCCACTGCTGAACATAGGCCTCCCCCAAGTAACGCCACAAAGCACGGTCCTGAGCCACCTGCACCCATCGACTTCCTGCATGTCTTACCAGGTCGTCACTCCATCTAGTGGGGGGTCGCCCTACACTACGCCTACCGGTACGAGGCTGCCACTCGAGAAACTTTCTTCCCCATCGGTTATCAGTTCTTCGAGCTATATGGCCGACCCATTGCCACTTCAGCTTACTAATACGTTGGGCTATGTCGGTCACTCTGGTTTTACTGCGGATATCCTCATTTCTGAGTCTATCACGCAAAGAAACTCCGAGCATAGCCCTCTCCATAGCTCGCTGAGCGACCTTGAGCGTCCTCATACGGCCAGCAGTGAAGGACCACGTCTCTGATCCGTAAGTCATCACTGGCAACACGCACTGGTTGTACACTTTAGTTTTGTGAGATTGAGGTACACCTGACGAGAAGATGTGTCATAATTTCCCGAACGCTGCCCAGCCGAGTTGAATCCGTCGATTGACCTCTCGGTCGAAGTTGGACTTACCTAGTCGGACTATTTGTCCCAGGTAAACGTACTCGTCAACAACTTCGAGCATAGTGCTCCCAACAACTACCGGCATAGGCGTGACATGGACATTGAACATGATCTTTGTTTTGTCCATATTCATCTTAAGACCTATCCGTTGGGAGACACCATTGAGGTCATTGAGCATAGTGCTAATGTCCTCCAGCGATTCTGCCATAAGGACTATATCGTCGGCAAATCGAAGGTGAGTGATGTACTCGCCATTGATGTTAATACCGTATCCTTTCCAGTCCAGTAGCTTGAAAACGTCTTCCAACGCAGCGGTGAAGAGTTTCGGGGATATAACGTCACCCTGTCTTACACCTCTCTGCAGTTGGATAGATTTCGAACTCTGGTTCTGTACTCGGGTAGCCATCGTAGCCCTACTGTACAAACACTTCAGCACTTCGATATACCGACAGTCAACTTGGCACCGCTGAAGGGACTGTAGCACCGCCCAAATTTCGACGGAATCAAAGGCTTTCTCATAGTCCACATACGCCAGGAAAAGTGGCAAATTGTACTCTTCGGTCTTCTGTACAATCTGCCGCAGGGTATGTATGTGGTCTATGGTACTGAAGCCTTTTCGGAAACCGGCTTGTTCGGGAGGCTGGAAGTCGTCGAGTCTGCGTGCGAGACGATTCGTAATGACTCTTGAAAACAGCACGTAGACGCGGCTCAGAAGGGAAATCGGTCTGTAGTTCTTCAAGAGAGCGTTGTCGCCTTTCTTAAAGAACAAGACCACCGCACTTCTGCTCCACGCCTCCGGAGTAGTGCCACCATGGAGGACGGAATTGAAGAGCTTCTGAAGGACTTCAAGTACCGGTGTTCCACCCGCTTTCAGAAGCTCCGCTGTAATTCCATCCTCGCCTGGGGCCCTGCCGTTTTTAAGGTGCTGGAGAGCCATTCTAATCTCGCTCAAACTGACGTCCGGGATATCATCGGAATAGTGTCGGGTAAGACCCGCTCTTGGATCGTTACTCACACTTGCGTGTGGCTGCAACGATGATGTGTACAGCTGCCCATAGACCCTCTCAATCTCACTCAGAATGGCAGGTGCCCGAAACTGTCACTGCCACACTCAGTCTTCAGCTTTGACAGTTGGCTCTTTCTGGCAGACAGATCTCTGGCAAAGACTTTGGAGCCCTGGTTACGCTCGATCGCTTCTTCAATACGAGCAGTATTAAAGTTGCGTAAGTCTCGCCGAATGCATTTGGAGATCTGTCTATTCGGTTGCCTGTATGGTGTCAAATCTGTTGACGATTGCAGCCTCATCTCCCGTCTAACAGCCATGAGATTAAGAGTGTGATCGGAGAGTTTTTGTGTTCTTCTGCGGCAGGTCTTGCAGAACTTAGCTCCGACCGCATGGACAGTTTCCACAGAAAAAAAAGCACGATTCCTTCAGTTTCCAAGCTTGTCATTCATATCGTCCACTGCATTGCAATCTTCTAGGCACTGAAAGCGGTTAAGTAACTCGAGCTGAAAAGTCGCGGGATTCTGGATTAGAGCACGAGGGGGACGGAGCGTTGACTTCATTAGACGAGACCTCTCCAACTTAACGTTTAGGTTCAGTGTGCCTCTAACCATTCGGTGATCGCTGCCGATTTTCACCCTTGCGCTCACTGAGACATCACTGAACAGTTGGCGTCTGGTCGTCATAATGAAGTCAATCTCATTTTTTGTCGAACCGTCGGGGCTCGACCAGGTCCACTTCCTGTGGGGCCGCTTCTGGAAGAAAGAGTTCATCATAAAGAGTCCCTCTTTCTCCATAAAGTCAGCCAGCTGCTGGTCTCTACGGTTCCGTTGTCCCACTCTAAAATTCCCTAACTTCAGCTCACCGCCTTCTCTTGTGCCTAGTTTTGCATTGAAGTCTCCCATCAACACCGTGTAGTGAGTTTTGGAGGAATGCATGGCTCTAGAAATATCCTCATACATTTCCTCCATTTCCTCATCGGTATGTGCCGAGGTTGGTGCATAGACCTGTATGACCTTCAGCGAATACCGTTTGGTAATTCTGAGTATCAGGTACGCGACCGTTGTCGACACACTCCCAACGTTGTTGACGAGAGACTTGTGGACGATAAATCCGACACCTCCTTGGGACAGACGGTCGCCCTCCCGGTGATAGAACAAGTTGCCGGACTCGAGGATTACCGTGTCCTCGCCCTCTCTTCGGACCTCAGATAATCCAATAATATGCCAGCGCAACTTGTCTACCTCTTCTTCCAGCTCCAGTATCTTCTCGTCAGACCTCAGGGTGCGTGCGTTATACGTTGCCAGGTCGAGTCGTCGTAGGTGGCAACCGAACCTCCACCGGAGATTCTTAGCACCCCCTGCCCCGCTGTTACCATGGTCGCCACCGTAGCCAGGAATAGCGGGGCCGCCGGGGACTGGGGGCCGTTTATTTGCGTCGTTGCTCATGGGGGGATACCTGCAGTACTCACTTACAATCAGGCGGTAAGTTCGTTTATCATTTCAGTTTTATATTTTAAAAAAATACGTTTGAGAGGTAAACTACCTCGAGCTTAACCACGCTTTACTTTGCGTCCACACATTCAACTAGCACGAACAAAACTCACGTTAACTTTATTCTGAGCTCTTAATGCATTTGCCACAACTGGCCTAAATTTATTTATAAAATAATTAATTATATGCAAACAAGAACACTAGTTAACGAGAATTGTATAGACCTAGTAAGGGAGCTAATGACTTAAATTGAAAATTTTAAAAACATCGAAACAAAAAGAGCTAATGATCTTCAAATGGTTGAACAGATTTCATGGAGACGTAGCTAAGAATACTTATGATAAAGACATCCTTCAAACAAAAAAAAAAACTTAATTAAAATTGGTTTATCCGATTAGGAGCTATGATGCCACAGATACACATTAAAAACTCATAACAACCCTCTGTATTCGCCGGGGGTTAAAAGAAACTTATAATAAATAATTGAAAAAGTAATTATGTGGTCAATAAAATGCGAAGAATTATTACAGAAGATTGACAACGTGATGTTCACTTTGATTATTTGTGTGATCATAATTATTAATCTCGAAGATTGTTCCCGCGACTCTGATTCTGATGATGATGATTGTGGCTTAGTATGTACACTCTTGTGTCAACAAATTTATTATTGCTAATAGTTTCATTTATTTTTTATTAGCCTGAAATGGATCCCACTGTTTAAATACTTGGTTAAATAAGTATTGGGTGCATATTTTTTATTAATATTTACGAATACTTTATCGATATGTCGATTTAATATTCTCAGCACTAATCACATCAGAATGATAGCTGTCATTCTAATCAATCAATTTTTTTTATTTTACTGGCTTTACGGCTCTGAGTTCTAGCCCTTCTGAGCCTATCAGTTCTTTCAGAATCTTCACTTTATATATTTTTCTTCACAATATGATGACGACAGCCACCCAAGTTTAAAAGGCGCCCAAGCGATCAAATTAACTTGAGGTTTATATCAGCATCAAAGCACTTGTTTCGTCGTTTTCTGTTCTGTTCACACGCGCTGACACTTAATTCACAAAATCACATCAGTTTTACGAATTGAAATTCACAGACAAAACAGGAGCGACAGTCCATCGACGGCCAAGTTCCCGCCAAAACTCCCTGATCAAGCTATATTTTAAAGTAACATTGAGGTTAGAGAGAAGGAGAAAGATCGTTACGTACTAAAGCATAGCCCGCCTGTCCCTGAAAATTCGTCGGTTAGTAGTATCTGCGAAGAATGAGTACAAGTAGATGAAGTTAGTTGAATAATGTACAATCTTTTTTTCGCGGCATTGGTGGGAAAATAATCGTGCTCCGTAATTTTTTATCTGTGACAAAAAGAAACATTAAAAAATGATAAAATATTGTATTGTGCGTTAATGTGCAAGTACTTTAGCATCTGATCGGTAAAATAGACTGAAAATGACTTTTATTGAGACAACTTAGCGATCGCAGCGCCTCACTTATTTTGTCCATATTTCTGGGACACTATTTTCTACAGAGATCGTTCTCCTTCTCTCTAACCTCCATGTAAATTACTATAAACAACAGCATCAAACATGATCTGTAATACTGCTTGCGGTGCTATAAAATGGGGAAACAAGACGCCGCCTGTTGCGCTCTCCGTCGCACTTACGGTAGGCCTGTGTAATTTTCCCTTAAGTGCGACAGAGAGCGCAAAGCGCAATAGGCGGAGTCTTGTTTCCTCATTTTATTGCATCGCGATCAGCGAGTGTTTAACATTAGTATAGTGAGAATAGTAAGTTCCTTATCATAAAAATATTGTATTGTCAACGGTTCTCAATACGTTAGCAAAATTTCCGAATATACGTTCATACATTCCGTCCGAAAGTGGCTGAAAAGTGAATTATTAAATGCCATTACATTCATACACACAAATTTATATAGCATGTGTTGGCAACAACGCGGCAATAGTGTGAAGCTGCGTAAAATGAAAATGTTGGTCATGGTACGATAGGGGAGTGAAGTTGCTCACTCTGCGAGAGTAAGAAATGGAGCGCGGAAAAACACTTTTCGTTCAATTATTATACAGCCAATATAATACTCTATTTTTGTTAAATACTTATAGGACTTAATTATTTTATAGTGAATGTAATATTCCATTTTATTAAATACTTATTATACTTAGCCCGTGTTTAATTATAGTTAGTACCAACAAAGTAAAACAAAAAGTTAACACATGTAACAAAAACTCTGTGGTTGTCGTTAAGTGCATTATCAAAATCAGTATTCAAACATATAGACTGTACTTCAGACAACTCGACCTTTATTTTTTTTAATAATATAAAATAAATTTTCATTTGTAGATTGTATGTGGTTTTATTACCTCAAACGGACACGAGCGTCGGTAACATGTTTTAAATCGGGGTTTTTTGACAATCCTTTAACTCCCCGGAAAATGAAGAGGTAATAAAACCACATACAATTTGCATATTAATTTTTTCAATAAAATTTTTTTTTGTTCAAGTTTAAAAGAAAAGTTATTTCTATACGTTTGAATACTAATTCTAATAATGCACTTAAAAGGAATCACATGTTTTTTATTACATAATATATATCAAGCTAAAAGCAGCTTATAATAAAGCATTTAAAAAGTTATCTTACAGAGCAGTACAGTGAGCAGCAGTCAACGCCCATTCGTTGTGAATAATGGTGCCTCCACAGGCGCTGACGCCTCCAACCTCACTGACCATCCTCAGCGAGATCTGGTAAGGAATTTGGCTCTCTTCCGCCTCCCATCCTGACACAATCCGTGTACTCTCTGCGAAAAAAGTACCTTGGTTTCTATATCTCCAGATAACAACGCGGGAATAGGTATGTGATTGGGGTGGATATATTATTATTATCTTGTGAAATTCAAAGCCTCCAAAACACAAACATCGCACTCCAGTGCAAAAGAGAGTCAGCTCACCTTGGCTCATTCTTTCCGAAATGTATCAAAGGAAAACACCGACCGCCTTCAATAATTAGGGATAATATTTTCTAGAAACTGAACTTTAAACGGTCTAGTGAGTTCAAAACCAAAAGAAGTAAGGTTAGGCCAAATTGGAAAAAACGCCATAGTGTGGTGCGGAAGGTACGATTTGACTGCCTCGTTGGTCTAGTGTTCATAAAGGCGACTGCTGGTCATGTAATCCCAGGTTCAAACTCAGGTTGGGGCCAGGATTAGTTTTTCTATTAAATTTTTCTGTCAAGAAATTCTTAGCAGCAGCTAGAAGTCAGGAATTGTTCTGTTTCAACACAAACCTCAGAATGTACGTAAAAAAAGTACTGCACCTGATCTCTCTCCGATCGTGTCGGGTTTCTGCTTAGAACTTTGAGAGTGAGGAAATATAGATTGTATACATGCTTATGCACACAAGTTTCATACGTTGTAGCATGAATGCGTCGGCTCGACCGGGGAAGGACCACGCTCTCACAGAATACCAGCGTGAAATAGCAGCTTTGATACTACTGTGTTTCGTATGGTGAGTGTAGAATTCCGGAGACCCTTCTTATGGAAACGAGGCATTCCATCTTAGCCCTCAGGGGTGACAATGCATCTGCGTTTTGATTCTTTATCGAGAATAAATTTAGATGTCTATGGGCCACAGCATCCACTTACCATCAGGTGGACTGTGTGCTCGTTTGTCACCCTTATTCCATATAAAAAACACACTCGTCCACTATAATACTCGTATCCTCGCCTCGTCGTTATAATCGTCATATAATGGTCGTCCTCCTACCATCTACCATACAGCAACCACTTACCGTCAGGGGTGCTCATTTGTCACCTTTAGTCTATAAAAATATAAAAAAGACTGCAGATGCGTTGTCACCTCTAATAAACGTAATGCCTCACGGTCTGTAATTTAACAAGGTCTCAGTACCCTTCAGACCGGATCATGGCATTGCAGACGCACCAAGCACTGATTCTTGGAGGCAGAAATGGATATGAGTATGGTATCTTCCGAGAGATGCGTAGACCTTTTACACGCATAATAATGTACACAATTGTGTTGGTGTGTCTCTGAAATGTATATATTTTTACACAAAATAATATATATATCAGAATTCTACTGAACTTAATCTAACCTACTTTCAGCTATCTGAGCTTATCGTGTCCGGTATGTAGTAAATACATAATCACATTCAGAAAGAAGCCTTTTTATAGTGGAACTATCTTTTATGAATAATATTATAGCTTTAGAATAATAACTGAATATAGACCGGCGAACGACCTTGCTCTCAAAGAATACCAGCGTAAAATAGATGCTTAATATCGCTGTGTTTCGTATGGTGAGTGTAGAGAACCGGAGGCCCTTTTTACTGGAAACGGGGTATTCCATCTTAGCCCTCAGCTTCTGCATTTGCATTTTGCTTAAAAATGAGGAAAGATTTAGATGTTTATGGACCACAGTATCTACTTACCATCAGGTGGACTCTGTGGACTCAGGTGGACCCTTATTCTATATAAATCTGAAACCTTCTTTGTTGCTGGTTGTACAGAGGCTGCAATAGTCACAGTCAGATAGACAAAAAAAGTTCAACTTAGCTATCAATTGCGTGGATTTTCAAAGCCATTCCACTTTTTCCTTAGGAGTGATGACGCATCTACATTTTTGTTTCTTAATCGAGCATAGATGTAGGTGTCTAGGGCTACAGTTTTATGATTCCATGAAACTCGAATGCTCAGGTAGTAAAGAAAACTCTGCCCGAACTCTCCGGTGGCGTTTTCATCCACTTTGGGTTACCGCGTCGAAAACTCGTATTGTAACGATGTAACGATTATTGAAGTGGAAGTAGGTAACTGTTATCTAATTTGTGCTACAGTATTCACTTACTATCGGTAGGACTGTGTTTTTGTATGAAAAATAATTATTTAGTACAGGCGAAACACAAAAGGGAGAATTTGGAAACCGGACCCCAGAAGGAAGTCCTGGAAAAAAAAAAAAGGGGAGAAGGAGAGGACCGGGAGGTTACATACCTCCTCTTATATTCTCCACAAAAGTCACCTTATGTTCAGCTAGTGCCTGTCAATAAAATATCACGTTTTAGCATGGTTTACTGATAACAGTTTTTTGTTAATCTATACATATAATAAATCTGTAGAAAAGTCGTGTCTGTAATTATAATATATTCTTGAAAAAATAAATAAATAAAGGTTACTGAAGCCAAATTAATGGTATTTAGAATTTTTGTCTGTCTTTCTGTCTGTGTATTCACGATTCACGCAAAAACTATTGGACTGATTTCCCTAAAATTTTGTACGTAGGTAGTTGGTAATCCGGGCCAACTTATTGGCTATTTTTATCCGATTACGGAACGTCGAAAAAGAAGGTATTCAGTATTTTCCTTTCCTTAGATGTTAATTTTCTATTATATATGATTCTGTTAGTTACATGTATGAAGGATGGCTGGTGCTTTTCAAATAAATACAATATTAATAAACAAATTTTTCAAATTTATTTCAGTCTTTGTTTAATAATTTGAAACCACGCCGACGATCTATATTTTAATTTTCAAAACAGCACCATCTATTATCAAATAGGAAAAGTACATTTTGCCTACAGTTACTAATTAAATAATTACCCGTAAGATCAGAAAGTCATGTTATTTGATACCACCTGTTTGCTCATGACCTTAAAATGGCGGGAATTGCAAATTTTTTGCTAACTTGCAAATTTTGCTATATTTTCACTTTGAGACAATATTTATGGATAAAACTTACAGGAATTCTTGTTGAATGTATAAACTTTCGAATAAAATTATTTTTAGTTCCTAGATATTGTAATAAAATTTATAAATTACCCTTTATAGCATAGTAGTAGTATATACTTCACTTTTAGTGCCAAAATTACTACTAATTTGAATTCTACACTTTTGTTTTTGGAGAAATTTATATGAAAATGTTTGGAAATATGTATATTTTTATGTTTTATGTGTTTCTATTCGTTACTCATACCAAAATATAAAAAAAAATAATATTTATCTGTATGACATTTCGAACAATATTTCAAATATATTTTTAGGTGAATTTGAAATAAATACAACGTCAAGTTATTTGAAATATGTTATAAAACTATTTTTTAGTTACATTTTACACTAAAATTAATGAGAATTGGAAAAATAACACATTTTTGATCCAACCGCCAAAATGGGCCTTCTCGATTTCGAAGTACTTTTGACACTTACTTTTCACTTTTTATGTCACAAATTATATATCTAAGTGTTTACTATATTACAAGGAATACAAAAAAGTATAATACTTTCGTTTTTAGTCCAGACACAAATATAAAATTCTATAAAAAAGACGGAGTACCTTCTGCAATGCGACACGTGGAACGCCGAAAGTTCAGAGTGATTTCTTTTTTTTCTAAGATCATTGCCAGGTTATGGTTTAAAGTAAAAGAGCATATCTTTGTCTTTTACTATATTATTCATTGCATATTGTCTTTGGTTTTGTTTATAACAAAAAAATATTTTTTCATAGGGCAGTATTTGGTATCAAATTTGATACCGTCCTGAGCCAGCGGAATATTTCAAATTCTTAGGTTTATTTTTGGGCTTTGTCGTTATTTCATTTTAAAAGTGTAATAACTTAAATAGTTAATAGTGACGTTTATCAAAAACACGAAAATTTATATGGTTTTTATTTCAAATTATTACAAAATTCTCATTATACTTATAGTTCGATCAAACAGATTTCTATATATGTCGTGGCCAAATTGTAGACTGATCATATTTTAAAGTATTCTATCATTTCGTGAAGTATAAGTAGCAATTTAACACTGTTTGTTGACCATATTATAATATAACTTGTCCTAATCAATGAAGAGAGATATCGTTTGATGATATAAACTAAAATATCTAAACAACATTGCTACTTCATGATATTATATGATCATATCGTCAAATAGGTTTTCACCGCTAGATGCGCTGATATCGCATTTTTAACACACCGAGTTTTTAGCAGAATCAACGCTACTTTATACCATATTTACATATTAAAATAATATTCGCGACTTTCCAGTCGCACTACTTCTATCGCTGATATTATTAGATGGCATGGTTTTGGCTTTCATTATTTCATCTAATAATAGCGCCATCTTCTAACTTCTAAATAAACTAATGATGAGTCCCTGATAAAATTAAATAATAGAGGCTACTGAATACCTATTCGTTTAGAATCAAAACTTTAAATACCCAGACCGGTGGCAATCATTGGAATGATTTACTGCAATTACCACGTTTGGCGAAATGACGATACTATTATATTTAATACTGTGCACAAAAAACTGTGATTAAGAGATAACCTCTTTAGTTGAATATTTTGAATGGCTATCCGCATTGCTTTTATTTCACCAACTTCGTTCGTTATCAAGTTAGCTAACGTAAATAGTCGAAAATTAAGTGTGCTGTGAGATTTTTAACTCTATTTGATGGAATAGTTCTTGGCATCGTTGCATGTCTAATTACTAGGAAGATCATATCATATGATCATATGATCATCAATCGTGCAAAAGCTTTGTTACAGCTTTTATGAATTTTATTTAAACAAATACGATAGCCGTGTAACAGGACATGAGATTTCATCATGGCACGGAAGAAAAACGTGTACGATTCCGTCCAGGCCACATAATATCTACTATAGGAATTTTTACGTGCTGACTTATCACGTGTCTGGTAAAGTGGTGGAAATAAATTCGTGGGGGAACCTAGATCTCTGAGTAGTTAAAAAGTATTTTAATTGCAATTTGAGGTTTGTTTCAATTTAAATTT